GGAAAGATTTTTTTAAGAATCTTTTCTTTCCCTGAGTCAAGTTCTATTGGGTGTCCTAAGGCATAATAAATAAAGCATTAAATTTAATAAATGCTAGTGTAATTAATAGAACACAATGGCTCAGGACAGCTAGGAGTGCATCTTTTAAAGAAATGAGATGTCACCTTTGGGATCAGTAGGCTAATATTATATTTGATGCTGTAACTGAAGATAATTCTGCCAAGTCTCAGGCCAAGTCTGCAAGTGTTAAGTTTTGCCACTAGGTTTGACTTGCCTGTTTCTTCTGCAGCCACTAGGTCTCATTCAGTTAACACTGACCTAGTGCTGACAGCTCACCATGCAGCCCCCTGCCAATCATCCACCCTGTGTTCCTGCCCCCAGGACTTCCCGTGGATCCTCGCTGATGAACAAGACGTGCACATGCACGACCCACGGCTCATTCCCCTGAAAACCATGACATCTGACCTGCTGAAGGTGAGCAGAGCATCCTGGCCCACGAGGTGGCTGGAACTGCACACAGTTCCAAACCTTGTCTACTCTGATGCCAGCTCTGCAGTTTTCTGGAGGGTAACAATTTCAATACTGCTGAGCAGCAGCTTAATCTTCAGCTGCCTGTGCCAGGAATCAAAAAAGGGCCAGACTCCTTATAATAAAACAGGAAACCTGGCTATGGGGGAAGGTACAAACTGCCTATTTAGTCTGTTGCAGACTTTTTTCCATTCACCTACCTGCATATCAGAGGGAACTGAGGCTTGTTTTTCTCCTCCAGATGCAGCTGTATGTAGAAGAGCGAGCCCACAAAGGCACCTGATTTCCAATCTTCCTTGCCTTCAAGCCTCATCTGATCTTCCAGTGGAACAGGATCTCTCACAAACCACACCTTGATAACCATCTCTTCAGCGGGGTGAATGTAGAGCAGCTGCTGCCTCTTGATTTCAAGTGCTCTTACCACTGTACATAGAACTGACTTGGAATGTGGAGCCAGAGCCTGTTCCCACGTACACTCGTGTGTGAGAGTGAGTATAGGTTTTGTCGCAGTGAATCCCTGGGAGCAGGATACAGGCAACTGCAGAATGCAGTCAGTGCTTTGTACCAATCCAGTTCTCACCTCAATAGGACATCTCCATTGCACACTGGCTGTGATATTGAGCCATCTGTCATATGCTCCACTAGAGCAATGGACTCATAGTAAGGGTGAGTGAGGCCTTACGTAGCGTCTGTCCACTGTGACTGTCCCAAGTAGTCTTCAATAAATACTGAGTTTTACCCCAGTTGAACTAAGCTGAGTTTTGTCCAAACCCTCAGAGCTTGTACCACTTTTCCATACCTTTTATGTCACATACACTTCTATGACAGCCTATACACCCTTGGTCTCCCCTTCCCATGGGAAAGCTTTCACTCACACGTGGCATTAACAAGATGGAATTTGTCTGCCCAGCAAGGACATTTGCCAGCTGTTCTACTCTTTTAACAGACAAGGGAAATACTGTTAATCCTACAGGTGTCAGAGGGGGTGGAAGGCCTCAGTGTTGGCTCTGTGCACACGGGGGGAGCAGACACAGCTCACAGTACTTGAGCTGTGCTTGTTGGCCAGTTTGGTAAGACAGCCAAGATAGAACCTGTTGCTTCCTTCAGGTGAACAGCTCAAGAACACGGCAGAGTGAGGCTGTGCACTGCTTTAACATTTTATGTAGGTTAGACTGTTCAGTACAAACCAGTATAATACTTTTACTACCAGTACAATGCTTGTCCTACCATACTTGGGTAGAACAAAGGAGTATGGAAACAGCCCATCACAATCAAAAGGCACTTAGGTTGTAAAGCAGCCACCTTATGGGGTTTCTCATCTCTTTCTCTAGCTGTTTGTTCAGCAGTGATAGGCTGGCTATGGACAGGAAGGCAGACACCATTTTGATCATACAAACAATAAGGAAATAAGTACCAGTGACACAGCTTTTATGAAGGAGGGCTGACAGCTTCCTTATGCTATGAAAGGTCTGGTGTGAAAGCTACATGTGTTTATACACAACTATGTGAAACAGGAACTACCATATAAAAAGAGTCTCTGTAGCACAGTCCTTGAGAACAGCACTGATAATCTGAAATTAAACAGTTTAGCCTTATCTTTCTTAAGTTCCATAAACAAACAAGAATTTCTATTTAAGACTTGGTATTTGGCTCTAGCACAAGGACATATTAACTAAAAAAGACAGGTGTCATATTTAATTGTCCTAGTCTTCTTCCCATGGAAGGGCACTAGTAACTGCAGTAACATCCATAGTACAAGAGGGTGAAAACTGAAGGCAAAAGTCCTTCCAAAGGGCTGGGCCTGCAGAAGTTCTGCTGTGACTGCTTGTATTTGAGATCAGCTGTGCAAGAAAAAGCCAGGACACTCATCCAAGGAGTATAGACAAGTAAGTGCACCTGAGGCCACCTCGTTACAATCCTGAGGTAAAAGCAAACACAGATATTGTGCCTTCATAATGTCTGGGGGCCAATGGTGATGCTGCTGTTTGTTACTCTGACCCCATACCATCCTGCCCAGAACTGGGTGTCTTGGCCTCCGTGCTGAAACCAGATGTAACGAACTCCAGGTGGGTAATTCTGGAAGGTGTGAGACATCTGAAGGGAAAGAAGAAAATTCCTCTTCATTTGCCTACATAAGCCAGCACTGACCTAGAAGCTCAGACAACTACAGTATGTGAGTCTCCATCTCGGGAATAGTTCATTTTCTGATGTCTTTCATGGAAAGTGCATCATGCCCCTTTTTCCTCATGGGAAAAAGCCTCCCTTATTCAGCCTGAAATCCTCTCCAAGTCAAACATAACATTAAGCTTGACTCTTAGGCACGTTAGCAGCAACATCATGGGGAATCTATAGCAAATCAAACCAGTTACACCTGTTCAACAGTTTCAGAACAGTAATGTCTGCAATAAATTTCTATCCATGCAGGAGTTTTAAAAACAAACTTTTCGATCCCATAGAAACATAAACTGTGCTCTTGTAACTTAGTTCTTAGACAAAAGGTCACATAACAGCCAGAAGCAATTAAAGAGATTGAATTAAAATAACAGACACCTGGGGAAACCTCTTTAGAAAACCTACAAACCAAACCTAGCCCTTTCCTGGCACTACTGCTTCTTCAGCATGGTCAACAGCAAGGACTTGCTTACCTTTTTTATTGAGGAGAGGAGGCCAAAGAGCAGAGAAAAAAGGTCCACTTGGGACTCTTGACCCAAGTGCAAGATTCAAGTGTCACCACAATGGTGTAAAACTGCCCACAGGGCTGCTGCTCACCTCTCTCCACAATGCATCACTCCACTGCTCTATAACCACTGGCTCGGGGTGGAATTCCTCCAGGACCAGGTAGTCCTCAGAGAGCAGCCTCACCGTGAGCTCGTAGCGACAGCCGCAGTCGTAGCGGGCAGCGTACCTGGGGAGGAACAGGAGCAGGGCTGCATGAACAGCACTCTCTGCTCTTCATAGTGTTCAAAACCAGTCTCCAGGGGAATTCCTGTCTGCAGAGGAAAAGGAATGTCCTTCCCATAGCTATAAAGAAGTTCTAAACCTTCCAGCTATCCTGCTCTTCACAGGATTGCCATCTTCTTACAGCCCACTGAATAAACTTAGTTTATGCTTTACTCAAAAGCTACAACTCCCAAAGGATAAATAACTAATTTTATAGTATGAAAAGCTCCAGAGGCCTAGCTTAGCTCTGGGCCAATGCCAGAAATTCTAGTTTTCAGTGCATACACCTACCAGTCCTTTACAACAATTTCAGGCCGTTTCTCATCCATCAGCTGATTCCAGTATCCTTCTTTCTGCAGACTAATGAGTTGAGACTTGTAACATGGCCTGCAACAGCAACAGAAATGTTCACAGCTTCACAAAACACATCTCTTTCCTCAACATCTACCCTTTCCCTGACAACTTTCCACTCTCCAAAAGCCTACCCAGCCCCTGAGGGCCCTCAAGGCTGCCATGGCTGAAACATGCCTTTTCCACAGCCAGAGCTAGATAAGAAAGTGAGCTGATTAGCTTCAACCCCCAGATAAGAGGAACAGTTATCTAGAAGCTGGATTAAGAGGGGTCCCTATACTTGTGTGGCATATATTGGTAGCAGGAAACTACAGCTCAATGGATGTAAAAGCTGCTAATCTTCCTCTGCTGACAGATTTTATTGCAGCATGACAAACACACTCTTCACTCTTTGACCTTGTCAGGTAAATGCATCTGACTGTCTTGCCAAACCTCAGCCTTTGCCCACCACCTTTGGTAGAAGAGAAGCAGGGATCCCATGTGGATTGTCATAACTATCAAAGAATTGCAGGAAATTCATGATAGGGACAGAGAAGTTTAGCACATGCTGTGGTTAGTTCTCTCAGCAGCACACCTGTCTCTTTAGACAAACTAGTGTAAAAGGTTAATTAAATGACTTCCTTTTCCCACACAAAGTTCAGGGACCTGCCTCAAGCCTTCTGGGCCCTAGTGCCTTTGCAGACAGACAGGAGGACACAGCTCTCCCAGCTCCAGATCACTGGCATGCAGCTCTTACCCAAATGAAGTGACAAAGTATTTCTGTACTTTGGGGTCTGGCATCCCTGTTCCATGATCTCCAGGCAGATCCTCAATCTTCCATTCATCTCCATCATTTTTATCAAGTTTCCAGTGCTGAAAGTTCTCTGAAATCAAAGAATCAAAGGAATCAAAGATGAGTGTTAGGACCTCACTTCAGGTTCCAGCAGCATCTCTGCTTTTGTTAAAGAATCAGCTACAGAAGAATATTGGGAACCTACTTAGATGAGTGTTCAGATACACTGCATTTTTCCTACAGCTGAAAGTGACTCCTGGGGGTGCTGCCACTGCTTCTAATGTGGCTGTCAGCAGCTAGGACAATAGGTAGCAACTTCCTGGCCACATCAAAAACTCATGTAGTTACATTACTCAAGTCTTTGAAAACAAAAACTCCCGGGCTGCCTGAATATTTCATCCTGAAACCTGATGCTTTCATCACCATATTGTACTGGCTGTGCAAATTAACTATCACTGTCTGCAGTGCTGGGGCCTTTGGGACTCCACAGATTTTTCTGGTTGCAACCACAAATGTGTATTTATCAATACTTTATCCACGGTAGTTTTACTGCACAGGTTTGCCTGGGGATGTGAGCCAGCAGATCCATCCATGGCGGATCTGACTCAGCTGGGCAGTCCCACCCCACCAGCAGTACTTGGCTAACACAGGACATTGTCTCATTCTGCCTGTCAGGAAACTGTGGTAGCCCTCTACTACGAATAATTAAACTAACCTTCAGCGCAGGGGTTTTTGATTAAGTTTCTCTTCAAGTGGCAGAGCATGTAGAAGATCTTCCAGTCAGAGACGCTTCTGTCCAAATTCTGGATATAGAAGCCCTCGCGCTGGCACTTGCGCTTCCAGAGGGTGGTGAGATCCACCACGTACCGCCACTGCCGGCAGACCAGCCTGCAGGCGTGGATCAGGTCCCGGGCCGGCAGCAGCGAGAGCAGCTCCACCAGGACATCTTCAGGGAGGTCGCAAATGGTTGTCATCGCTGAGCGGCAGCTTCGGTGACGGGCTGGAGAGACACGCGATGGAAACCCCCCTGGCATCGACAGCACTGAGCTTCGGGAAAGAAACAAGAGTTGTCACTAGTTATTAACAGAACCCCGCGACAACTCCCCGGCCCCAGGCTGCCCCCGGGGAACCCCCAGGGCACCCCCGCCCGCCCCACCTGGCTCCACCCGCCGCGCCCTCCGGACACGGATGTGCGACCGCGGCTCTTCCGCAGCGGGCGGAGCGCGGGGCGGGCGGTGGGAGGAGCGGGGCCAGGGCCTCCCCGCAGCCCTTTATGAGGGTGCCCGGGCGGTCCTTCCCGTCCCCGACCAGCTATAGTGCCGTGGGTGCCCGCACAGCAGGTAGGAGCGCTCGGCCCCTCCACATGGGGCCAGCCGAGGCGGGAGGGGGCGGGGACGGGCTGTGGGCAGCGCTGCGGGGGCACCGAGCTGGAACCCTGGGGGTTTCTGGCCGGCTCTGTGCTGGGCAGCGCGGGGGGAAGGCGGGGAGGAAGGGGGGTGAGGGTCGGGGCAGATGGGGAAGCAGAGCAAGGAGAGCGGTGATGCTCCAGCACCAGGCAGAGAGCGAGTGAGGCATGAGGAATTCTTGCAGGAGATGAAACCTGTGGTTGAGGGTTGGAAAAGGGGGAGCGGGGAAATGGGAAATCTCCCGATGCTATCGCCATAAAAGCCAGGGACTTGTAGATGACAGTTTCCTCCTGCAGTGTGCGGTGCAGATCGAGGACACGACAGCTCTGCAGCTGGAGCATCTAGATGTAGGATACTGTCCCTGTGACTCCCCGGTTCTTTCCTCCCGGCCTGATGAGGCACTGCCGTATGACATCAAGCAGCATGTCAGGATATTTCCCCTGCTTTGTTCCTAGTGCTCTCCTGGCCCTAACGACTCACTCCAGAGGAATTTGGCTGCAATTACGCAGTTTGCTGCAGTCTCGGCAGCGTCCCAGCATCAGGGCTGTGCTGAGATAAAAGCAGAGTCACGGTGCATCCGACACTGGTGACCTGGGCACTGAATCTGCATGTTCATCATTCCTTATTCCTGCAGCTCCTGGCCCTGGACCTCAGGGCACCAGAGAGATGTTGGGAGGCTGAGTGCAGAATTAACACATGGAGTTAAAGCACACATTTCTGACTTGGGTTGTAAGCCCAAGAGACTCTCAACAGAGTTATTTTCAGTCTTGCTCAGACCTGTACTTTACACAGACTCATGACGAAGGAGATTAAGTGCCAGGCCCTTGAGGAAGGCCTCTCAGATATAGAACAAACCACTGCAAATGTGGTTGGCAGGATGCTCACCATGGATATGTAGGTACTGCTCTGCAGTGTTTGTTATTAGGGATGTTCTTGAAGGCAGAACTAACAGCCAGATGCCTCCTGCAGAGGAGGTCTTTATGAAGAAGCTGTTTTTTGCAGCAGCAGGGATTTCCAGAAGGACTGATTCCAGTCTGGGCAACTGAAAACCTGTCATAGTTGCAGATGTCAATGACTTGCATTTTGTGGATTAATTTACCTTCACTTCAAACAAAATATTAATCTGCTCACATGCTTCAGGGTATTAATATGTCAGGAGGTCTTGAGGTTAGGAGGCAACCTACACCCCCAAAATGATACTTTCAGATAAGATGCTTATTTTCCCTCCTTCCTAATGCATCACTGTTTGACACGACTGAGGGTGGGAGACCCCATGTCTAAAGGACCACCATGTCACCACTCCTTTCCCCATTCTTCCTCAGCAAGCTCCATCCAGCCTGGCCCAAGGATGGAGTCACTCCCTGAAGCAGTCCTGATCAGAATCCTGGCTTCCATCCCTGCGGTGGAGCTGGTGCTGGCGTGTCGCCTGGTCTGCTGCCACTGGAGGAACCTGGTCGATGG